TCTACCGAAGGGTGCTTAGGTCACAACTTGCTGCATCGATCCGACTTAGGAAGCGCCTCTTCCAAGATGGAATCGAGGAAGGGCACTTCCCGGATATCGGGCTCGGCTTTTCTGGTCCTTGCCATTTCTGATAGATGGTAATGGCAGCTGCGAAGGCACTGTGGTTAAGCTTAGTCAGATAGCAGTCTGCAAGGTCGCAGGAGCTAATGATATGGTTGGTCTCCTCGATGTCTTTCGAGAGGACACGATTGAACTTTGGAGGTCTTAATCGGGGTCGCTCGGACATCTGTAGGTACCACAGATCTAGATGGTCGAGGAAGGTAGTTCTCAGTTCTTCAGAGGGCGTTTCTGGCTCTGAAGTAACCTTAATAACCCTAAGAGCAACCTGAAGTGGAGTCTCTTCAGGTGTTGCCTCCTCGTTTCCAAGTACACTTCGTTCTTTATTCGCTATATAATATGTATCCAAGTAGCACACGCACGTTGAATCAACGTTGATTCAACATCATTTTGTCAACGCAACTAACGTTGAAACCACGTTGCCTGTCAACATTGATTCTAAAATGAAAGTTCATTTTTATCAACAATTGATTCAACGTTGACATCAACGGTATACCAACGTTGATTCAATGTTCAAAAGCAACTTTGCAGCGTTGCTTCAACATTTGCTTATCTACGTTGACTCCATATTAAAAATTCATTTTCTTCAACATTGAAGAAATATTGCATCCACGATGATTCAACGTTGATATGACAGGTCTCAACAATCTGTTTAATTCGTGCGCATGCACCGTTTCATGGCTGAAGCATCTGGACACGATCTCCATCCTCCGAATCCGCTTTTTTAAGATCCCTCCATCCAAGGACAATGCGAACCTAATGCCAAGATGAGAAAGAGACATCCTCTTCCCCCGGAAGCAGAAGGGCACCGACGCGATTAACGCGATTTAAAAAGAGGCAACCGTCACTCCACGCACCCTTCGGCAGTGATCATGATTTGGATTCATTCTTGAAAACAGGGCGACGTGGTCTCGTGGAGTAATATGCCCTCGCATACATTCTTGTGTCCATCACCCTGCTCAGAATTATCCTGGGTCGTGTTTGGTTGGTTGTCACATTGGTCGAATATATCCAGAAAGTCAAATTCCTTCCCAGGCGTCGTTTGTGGAGAAAATATCAAGTACGGTTCCAAAAGTACTAGAAACTCGTACTGATTGCATCTATAAGGTAACCAACCATGTTGGACAAGTAGTTGCCATCACATTTCGCAGTCAGGAAATCTTGCTTGTTCGCATGTCTCGCTAGATGTCTCGCTAGACGTTTGATGATGTAACATTGACCGGACAACGTTCTCTCAATATTGATATTTTCAACATTGAATCAACATTGAATCAATGTTAAAGTATTGATGCCATGCTGAAGCGTTCATAAAATTAAAATGTGAGCAATGCGGTCGCGGTGAAGCTGTTTTGCGTGAGTCTGTCCTTTCTTCAGATAACCTATATTACTTCGATACGTGCCAAAGGCGTTCAATATACTCAGATAATCGTGTTGGTAATAAAAAATTAAAATAAAAAAACACATTAATATGGGAAACACTAAAGGAGGACCATGAACCATCAAGACCGTCCCAGAAAAACCCTTTTCGGATTATTAGTAAGGAAAATAGGAATGATTTTAGCAGCCATTACAGTTCAGGCTTAATTAAAATATATCTAGCAAATGTCTTCACGTCAATTCTCCTAAACCAAGCCCTTGATGGCATACATAAACACGTCGGTGCCTATTTCGGCAAATAGGTTGGACTCAGTAAGGTTTGGAATCGTTGCTCCTAGTTATGCGAGCCGAAAAAGCCATTCTACTTGATTGGTGCGACGAAATTCGAGTGCCTTTCAGCCACTGTCTTATTTGCTCAAAATCGAAATCTCTTGAAAGAAATTATTCCTGGTAGATCAGCTGAAGTAATTAAGCAGTTGCAAACACTGATGGAGAAAGGATTTTTAAAAAAACATTTACTGCATATACTTCGACTGTGAATGATCCAGCATTGAATGAATGTTGCCCCAAAGTGGGTGTATGAACGGTGACGGTCACCGCGTTAAATCAATGTTGAAGTAACGTGGATGTAACAACAGTGATACATTCAATCCATACCCAGTCAACAATGATTGAACGCCTCATTCCAAACAAGTCGGTGTCTATATCGGGGGTGAAAATACCAGATTTGTTCAGATTTCGAACTCAGGCTTTGCGTCACCTAGGTGGCCTTTGTGATCCAACAGTCACAGGGCCACTATACTCCATCGTCCAGGTGCCCCACCCCTAGGAAACTAAGGTTTGAAGTTCAGGGTTACTAGACTGCCCATTGCAGCGTTGCTTCCAAAACCATTTTTTAACATTTTTTTTGGGGAAAAAAATTATTTATTTCATGTAATTAAGAGGTCGGACGTGCGACAGAATGAGCGTTTGAATGCGAGCGTGGTTCGTAGAATGCCTCTCTCCCGTTGTAATGTTAGGGATGACATGGAAAGAAAAAAAGACAGACTGGAATCTCGTGGCGTAGTGATAACACGTTTGCTTCTTAATCAGGAAGTCTAGGGTTCGAATGGCATCATTTTGTTTTTGTCTTCTTATGCTACCCGAATTCTTCCCCCACCCGCCTCGGGGTATTACGTTCTCGAGAATGGATCCGACAGTCGCAAGGGCCGGAAAAATAAAGTGCTCCTCCCAGAAAGGGAGACGTACACCCTTTGGCAGGCATAAAGCGACGCAAATGCTCACATGGACTGCACATGGACATGCACTCAGACCCAAGCATCGGAGGCTTCATATGCACAAACGCAGCTTCATTGTGTTTTTAATATATAGGACTAGCTGAATTACCCAACGTTGCCCGGGGAAATGCAATATTTAATGCAAGGCAAATTGGGAAACGTAAGCCTTATGGTCTATAAGTTACCGATCTTGGGTGTCGCAAAATGGGTTCGGACTCCTTTCCCTTTAATTTTTTTTTTGCACGGTTTGAATAATTTCTAAATTATTAAGGGAAGAAAAACTTTCTTGTTATAGTGCTTTTATCGTTTTGAATCATATTTTTGATGAAAACTTGATCGAAAGAATATTACTACCTACTGTAGTGATCCAGAAATGGGATTCCCGGGGTACTGTAATGCATGTGGCTGGGAGAGTTGGATGGCATGTGAGGACAAAAAAAAGCTGGGTACAGCCAGGAATCGAACCCGGGCACCCTGATTGTCGGTCAGGTATGCTACCACTGCACCATCGAATCAAAGAGTCAATCGCTTCTCTCAATGACATCTCAGACAATACACCCCCCAGGAAAAGTACCCCGGGAGTGAACATTTTGGATGGAAACATAGCCCACGACCTTCCCCTTGATGAAAGAGGAGGCCATGCAAAGTTTGGTTGCACTGGCTCCAAGGTGTCCGAATGGTGGGAACAGACAGACAGACAAACTTTCTTCTTTATATACGAGTATAGAGATGGGTCACACCAATCAGGCCTCACAAAAGCACTTTCGTTCATTAGTAAAGTAAATGCCTAGATTCGAATATATCCAAGTTAAACGATTAATTGGCTTTAAAAGTATATAGATATATATGATATTTATTGAATCTCCTTTTTCTAATTTACGTTTGTATTAAGACAATTCCACCGTGTGAGATGCTCAGTAGAATTTATTATGATTTTTGCTTGTTTGCTGCGACAGACTATAGGCCAAGCGTAATTTCAGCCACCCTCATATCTGCCCTAAATCAAGAATTTTTCGGTGATCGTCATGTATTCTGAGCGATTGGCTGAACTACTTAACAAACCACGATGAAGCACATACAAAAAATCCAAACGGCAGAAAAAAAACAAGGGATTTTTTTTTTTTACAGTGAAAGAATCCATTGAATCGATGTTGATTTAATGTGGATACTTCCACCGTAAATAGTGCATCATTGATTCAATTTTGAGTCAATGTGGGTGTATCAACGGTAATGAACACCGTGTTGAATCTATGTTGAATCGCCATAGAAGTATAAACCTTCAACAGTGAAACATTCGACCCACATCTATTCAACGTTGAATCGATGTTATGTGCTACCTGGGACAGGTTTCAACATTCTGTTTAATTCGTGCGCATGCGCTGTTTAGTGATTGAAGTATTATTTGAATATCATCTGGACACGATCTCAATCCTCCAAACCCACTTTTTAAGATCCCGCCCCCATCCGAGGACAATTCGACCTTAGTACCGAGATGAGAAAGAGGCATCCTCTTCCCTCAGAAGCAGGAGGACATCGGCGCTATTACTGCGATGCAATAAGAGGCTGCACTCTCTCCACGTCGTGATCATGATTTAGATTCATCCTCGAAAATTGGGCGTCGTGGTCTCATGGAGTAATATGACCTAGCAAACTTTTTTGTGCTCTTCACCATGTTCAAAATTATCCTGGGTCCTGTTTGGTTGAGTTGCTACTTGGGTCGAAAATTGGCAGTGAGTCAAATACCTTTCTTGGCGTCATTTCTGGAGAAAATATCAAGTACTACACTAAAAGTACTAGAGACGCGTACCGATTGCATAAATACGGTAACTAACTATCCAAGCAGCATGTTTACGTAAACAAGGTATCAATTTATTGCAAACAAGGTAAATTTCCTGCGATTGCCATGAAAATGACATCACGTTTGCCTCAAATTTACGTTTCTACATTTACGTCATCTAATTGTACTTGTATTTCACATGAACTACACGTCACTCCATCTGATCAAGAAGATGTAACACTTGAAAATTAATGCAGATGCGGTAATGGATAGTCTTCTTTTGGTTTTCGAGGAAGTGCTCATTCAAATAATTTTTGGAGGGACCCTCTTCGTTTTGATATTGTTTAAATGTGTTCTTGTCCGTCATATACATATTTTAGTTCTAAGAAGTAATCGATGGAACATCGATCACTTCACGTGGATGGAAATACAACATTTCTGTATGTCTGCAGTGTCTTCTTGGAAGTTTTTCACTGTGTAACATCCCGCCTGCTCCCAAGGGTGTTCCGAAGTTTGAAGTCACCTTTGAAATGGATGCAAATGGCATCCTCCAAGTGTCTGCTGTGGATAGACTCTCTGGTACAATGAACAAGATCGAGATAAGCTATAAAGGTGGGTGTCTATTTCCCGAGTATATTTGACCTGAAAAGTTTTCTAGTTGTGCTGATGGAAACGAGGCTGTTGCTTTGAACCTCCATAGGGGGTGACTTACCTGGTTTTCTTTTGAAGAGTAAAGGCTTGCTCTTTCTCAAAGATTGACTTTCCATATTTTAAATGTCTTTATCTAGTCTCGTCTGCTGACTCGCTTGAATGCTTATGAAAAGTTGAAGCATTCCGGCTGATAATTAACCTATATATCTTAATTTTTCACGTGACTTGGCGATGTATATCACCCCTTAATCATAGATCGTGTAACGAAAGAGGATATTGAGAGAATGGTCGAGGATGCCAAGAAACACCGTGAAGAGGACGAGCTGAATATGAAGTGCCTGAAAGCTAAAAACTCCTTGGAATCCTATGCAATTCGAATAAAAAGCACCATCGAAGATGAGAACAACAAAAGTTTCCCTGAGTCAGACAAGAAGAAAGTATTGGACAAATGTGAAGAAACCATGAAGTGGCTTGGTACCATGGAGGTATGGTTACAATTATAATGATGTAACATGATGATTTAATTGCGCTAGTAGTTCGGTTGTAGCTTTGACTTGCCCGAGTCTCACTGCTACAGGAAAATCGCGCTTACTTTTCTCTATGTAGAGAGCCAATTTGGAGGAATACGAGCGCATGCAAGAGGAGCTAGAGAGCCTGTACAACCCTATCATTACCAAGATGTACGAGAATCCAAGCAGTTCCGACAGCGACTCCTCAGACCTCTCGGATACCAATGAAGATGCTAAAAATTAGCTACTTCTAAATTGAAGCATAATTGTATTGCTCTATATTAATTCTGCATATAGAAGGCGCATTATCGCACACTTGCTTACAGTTGTCATTTTATTAAGGGTATCCAGCAAATTCAATGGTGACGTTGATCAATTTCGATGATGAATTCGAAAATCTGGCATCCGAGAAGAGGATAATAAATATATTAATATATATATAATAATGAGGATGGCAGAACCTCAAATCCCCTCACAGTTGAATCAGCAATTTTCATATTTTTTTATATTCTGAAACACTTCAGGTAGAAATTGAGTGATGAAATTCCTTTCAAACTGAAAACTATTTGGAATCGTTTTTTTATTTATATAAGCTGTGATTCAAGAAATAAAATGTTATTATACGCATACTCATACGAACCTATCACCATGTCATATTTTATTTTTAAATTCAGGACTCTCATGAGAACTTTTAAATACATAAGGTCCGTCCTTCAACGTTTGTTCCTTGACATCTCAGAAGCATACTTTCACACGTCATTGCACCGTGTTTCCAATTAAAGCAGCAACGATTAATTTTTAAATGTAAAGACTGAAAACTAGCAATATGGCAAATGCGAAACTGAGGGAATATTGATGATTTTATGGGGTTTGTTCTGAAAAATATTGTGGGAAACAACATTTTTCTTATCATTCCAGCAAATGACAGAATCTTTAAAGACATCTGAGTTGCTACGAAAATAGGTCACACATTTGGTCTCATTTTGCCAAAATGCCATAACTTCAAACCTTTATTTTAACCTGACGAGTATATTTGCCCTGAGGACTAACAAACCCGCTTTGAAACTTGGCAACGCATTTGAAGTATTTGTTTTCCATTATATCATTGTGGTGAAAACCCTTGGTTTATAAGTGTTTTTCATAGTGGCTTCAAATTACTCATGGTTGTCAAGCTATTGCCAGCCTAATGTCAACAATATGCATCAGGTGTTTCTCCTAAGTGTTCCTGAGGAGTGATTCCTCGATAGTGCGTCCAATAGCAAAATCGTAAGAATTAGTTTTTCCAAGGAAAGAACTAGGAAGGTTACCCGTATTCCCAATTAAAAAAAGGAAGCAAATAATTTTTTTTTCTAAGACAAAACATGATCCTGCTGACCCAAGGTAGCCCTGTGATCCATTGGTCACAGAGCTACTAAACTCGGTTGTCTAGGTGCCCCACCCTTAGGAAGGTAAACTATTAAGTTCGGGGGTCAGGGTTCACACCGAATCAGCCTCACACAAATATTTTATTTCATCAGTAAATAACATGTCTACATTCGAACATAACTTCAAGGTGATGCATTAATTAGCTTAACAAAAAACAAGAAATATATTATTTCCATTGAAACTCTATTATTTAATATTCCGCATGTCTTGAGACAACTCCATCATGTCAGACGCACACCAGAAATTGTTTAATTATACTCTAAGTTGCTGTTCTACTTGTTTGTCGTGACAAAATTTGCCCCCGACGTCATTTCAGTCACCGTCTCATATGCCCTAAATGGAATATATTTATTGATAGAAATGTATTTCAGCTGATTTACTGAACTATTTGACGAACTCTGGTGGAATTACACAAAAAACCTAACAGTGGACCTAATACACAAGGATTTTCAACTGCAAAAGAATCCATTCAATCGATGTTGATTTATTGTTGACACTTCCACCATGAATAATGCAGCATTGAAGCAATGTTGAGCCAATGTGGGTGCATAAACGGTGCACCTCGCCGCGTTGAATGAATATTAATACGACATGGAAATAAGTAATTGTCAACAGTGATACATTCAATCCGCACCAAATCAACGTTGAAGCAATGTTATGTGCTGCCTAGGAACGTGTAAGAAGCATGGGTATGACATAGGTAGTGTGAAATTAATCTGGATCTGGTTCTTCAATGAAGTAGGGATCAATCCTGAAGTCTTCTGTGAAATTACAACTGTAAATTTGGCTTCATGCAATAGGTTTAGATCACATGAGTCTTTTTCTCAGCTCCTACAAGGGAACTTCTTCATGTTCACGATCACCTAAAGGTACTTGAAAATTCACATGAAGTTGAATTCGGTGCTGCATACGTCATCAATGGCTTCATAAGCCAGTTTGTGACTTGTTTGTTGGGCTACACTACGTGCCCAAATTGGGGAAGGTCTCGTGAGCCATTCGCCACCGTTGTGAAGAGCGATCGCAATCATTGGTACTTGATACTTGGGATACGCTTAGCTATGCATTTTTTCCTCCAACGAATTGGACAGAAGTACAGGGTGATTCAAAGGATTCAGAAGTCTCTCGTCATTCATACGTATCCCGGAAGTGCTCAGGTGTGAGTGCTATTCCTGCAGGCATGCTTTCATGGAAAATTTTCAGTACTAAGTCACCAAAGGATGAGTTAAAGGATGAACTCATCCTTTGGTGACTCAGTACTGAACAAGAGACAAAGGCTTTTGGAAAAGAGTCTTTACTCTGGATAAGCACGTTCGATTTTTTTTAATTTTCTGTCAAAATTCAAATTTTTTAATTAAAAAATTTAGTCATTTTCTAATGCTCTCGACATTTTTTCCGTTCCACCATGCTTTGATTCCACAATTTCTCATGCCCATTCTGCTTTTCGAAATTTCTTTGCCTCAACGTTCTTGCCATTCGGCCAAAAAATTGCGACTTACTTTCACAGAACAATAAGGACACTTACCTCAAGGAAAAATTTTTCCTTACGAGGGTCGGTACGAAAGTAATGCCTCTTAAATTTTTCTTCTGACTCATGCATGGAAGATTGGCGAAAAAATTCCTAGGTAAAGACTTATTCTTGCCGTCCTTGCTGCGTCGGTTTTCCGGAAAGATATCAGTTGGAAGCACCACTGCACTCGTTCAAAATGGCTGCTGCCCTTGATGGGCGTACAAAGCAGTTTCTTATCTAATTACTGACTGCAGAGGGAAACCATTCATAGTCGACTGAAAGACGTTAATGGTATACCTCTACCGTTGATGTGACCACAGTGAGAGGGTGGGCAAACAGGGTCAAGAGTGAAGAAACCTACCTGGAAGACAAGCCACACAGCTGTCGCCCTGCCGCGGTAGTACCATCAGAGCAGATTCCCAGTCAGGATGAGCTGATTCGCAACGATCGGTGCATCACCACAAAAGAGTTATGCGAATCTGTATGAATCGGAAGACTTACAATCATCAATATCATCCACAACCTCTGCTACTCTAAGTTGCTTGCTCTTGTGGGTGCCTCAAATGCTGATGGGCATTCATAAACAAAACTGACAGAGCACGCGTGTTGAAATGGTCGAGGGTTTCGAAACCGAAGGTGTGACATTTCTCTCACACATCATATCTAGTGATGAGACTTGGGAGCACCACTATGACTCAACCAGCAGTCGGGATTTGGCATAGTCGTATTATCATCTGTTTGGCCCTCATAAAAATCGGTTATGGGACAGAACTTCCAAGAAGACAATGAAGGAAAAGAAAGTTTTACAGAGACGGCATACATGCTTTCTTCAAAGCTAAAAAGAGTATGGTGAATACGATGAGAACTAAATTGAATAATAGACATGTATATAAAAGGGCTCCGAATATTTTCCAGTCCAATTTCATCAAATTGCTTCATAAGTTAGAGAGAAAAAAATGAACGGGCATTACTTTCGCACCAACACTCGTATTATAAATACATTATGAATAAAACAGCAAAACAATAAATACTGAGCTGATGAAATCTGGCTTTAAGGTACTACGGGAACATAAAAATCGACCCCCCTGGATCCGACCCGCTCTATAATTGTTGTAAGGGACCTCAAGAAATTGCCTTGGAGCCGATTGCTGGCTCTCTCAGGTCACCCCCGGGGCCATGATCTGTGGTCAAAGGTAAAAATTTGCATGCTTCTCTTTGAAAATCAACGCCTCCCCAACCCTCGGTCGCAGAAACGTGAAATCTGCACCATTCTCCTTGAGACATACAGCGATATATGGAAAAAATAAATACTCGTGTGCAACTGTCGTTCCCGAGACGCCATGACGCCATAACTGAGAATTTTTCTGTTTTCGGATTCTGTTTTTTCGTTCTCATTCCTCGTAGAAATTTCCTATCGGCAAAAGCATGCTCCAGTTTTTGGAGGCTGATATGGTCCACCTTTTTGCGGAGTTACGCATGGTTTCCTCCTACCGTTCCCCCTCAGTGTTCGGTGATCCGCCTGACAAATCAACTTTTTTGGAAGGGACGCGACGTTGACGGACAAAACTAAAAAACGAGGCTGAATTAAAAAAATTCCTCTAGTAGATCTCTTTAAAAGTCTCTTGGCTAACTTACTTTACATTTTTTATGAGAATCCGTCTACTATCCTAGAAGCCGATCGATTTTCCCTGCGGCCTCTTTGAACGATTTAGGTCATTTCTTCCATTCTGGGTCGAATTTCTCTTCTCACAGGCCAAGAATGCAGGATTTTTTGTGCCTATCCCATAGAGGAATGTTTCACAGATCCAATGAGACCAAGACTGCTTACTGTCTCCAATGGGATAGAGAATGCGAGGCTTTAATTACCGATTTGCATGAAAACTTGAATGCTCTCGCGCAGCTCTTCACTCTTTGACTTCCTTCCCACTTCACTCCCATTTTCCTTCGCCTGTCCCGAGACTGTTTCGCACTCACGCACTTCCCCCTCGCATGTCTCTTTCCTTATTTCGCCAGTCTCACTGGCTCCTGCGGCTGAAGTTCAGTGGAAACAAGGGCCGCCGCTCTTCCTGTGGGATACTAAGGGGAATGAATTATTTATTTGACTCGTGTATTATCGGTATCAATCCTTGTGCAGGCGGTACACAGCCAAGGCTCCAACGGTGACGATGTTCATGAGCTGCCTGTTATTCTAGGTAATGATAAATCGAATTTGTGACGATCGCAAAGGAAATTTGGCAACGTATATCCCCCCTCCTCCCTTCAAATAGCTATGTCCATACATCTCCCTTTTCTGAAACTATTCCATATTTTGCTCAGTGCCTTCCTTCTTTGGAAAGGATTGAAATCTGAGTATGTTTAGGGCATGCTTCAGATTGTTAAGGAGAAAATCGATTCTTTGGGGTTCGAGATCTCTGAATTAATGTATTGGTTGGTCGCGAGAGAAGTACTGAGTGTGGTCTCTCTTGTCAAATTCGACGAATAGTTAGCCATACGTCCTTGCTTAATTTGCTGCTTGATAGCCGTTTGACAATTCCAATCAAAACACAATTCGAAAACAGTTGGCCACATGAACACCAAAATAGC